GCTGTGCAAAATCCTTTGTTTCACACAGTCCAGTATTATTTTGGAGTACAATATTAGATATAATATTGTACTCCTGACAATAATATTGGACTATAGCTAGTACCCTCTTTGAAATACGAGACTGTAGAAACAAAAGAATGACGTCACAAAAATGTTTTAAGTTTATTTTTATTGGATGATTTGCTAGGCACTACAATGTGTTGCACTGTGTTGCAGTAGAGTGCAGTAATGGTGCAGTAGGTTATACTTGTATTTCAACAAGCACAATTAGTTAATGCCCTTTAGAAACATTTCCCACCATCCACCCTCCAAAGTCACCCTTTATATACAATTTCCTCTTGCGGCTGAAAGTTTGTTGCAAAATTTGCATACTGTCAGTTTCTTACAAAGTTCGATAATCAAATTATGCCCCTTTGAACAACGTAGACAAAACGATTATGCAAATGTTTAGGCAATATTAACGGATAACAAGCTTGTATACTATATAAGACAAGAGAGTCACTCACACATGTTAAGTATGGTCTTGCGTGTACACGTAATGTGAGTTTCTCTCACAAAACAAGTACTGCTAGATGGCTAAGCATGTAGTACTGAAAGCTCTCTTGATTGTTCTACAATGGGCGCTTTGTTTGATCGAGTCTCAAGATGTTCATTCCTCAGTCAGACAGGAAAATTCCTATTTATTTCAATGTTTAACATAAAAAAGATAGACCAAATATGTTTTAAGTAGACAGTAGACGTCAAGCAATTACAATGGGATGCATTGCAGCACTGATTTTTTTTTTATTTAAGATCATCCAGTCTGTCCCTAACTTTTTAAAAAAGAAAAATTAAAATTAAAGAGATTTTGTTTCAACTTTATCTTCAATAAAAAAAAATCATGTAAAACAAAATTAAACTTTTGAATTTTTGATTGACATTACATTGTAGTGCAGTGCAATATAAGTATAGGTAAATTATGAAGATACGAAGTATTAATACGCTTGCAGGTGAAAAAAGAATTACTCACCAGTCAAAGAGGAATGCTGATTTCTTCAGAATATTTTTCGCTTGTCCATAAACTAGTCGTTCGATAAAAAATTATCAATACGTACAACTTTGTCGAAAGAGTTGTACAATATTAATACAATATTATCAATGCGTAACTTTGTCGAAAAAGTCCTCCGACACAATTCTTTTGATGTAATTACTGGATTGTTAATTGAGATTTATATGAAAGAGAACAGTCATACATTAGTAGAATGTGAATAAAATAGTTCATTCAGTCTGTTTCTTTCTTCTTTTTTTTTTCCAAAACACTATTTAAAGAAAAAAAAAGTGTTTAATCATATTTTTAGTTCAATTACAACAAACTGACTAAGTTTATTTTGATTGGATGATCTGCTAGGCACTACAATGTGTTGCACTGTGTTGCAGTAGAGTGCAGTAGGTTATACTTGTATTTTAACAAGGACAATTAGTTAATGCCCTTTAGAAACATTCCCCACCATCCACCCTCCAAAGTCACCCTTTATATACAATTTCCTCTTGCGGCTGAAAGTTTGTTGCAAAATTTGCATACTGTCAGTTTCTTACAAAGTTCGATAATCAAATTATCCCCTTTGAACAACGTAGACAAAACGATTATGCAAATGTTTAGGCAATATTAACGGATAACAAGCTTGTATACTATATAAGACAAGAGAGTCACTCACACATGTTAAGTATGGTCTTGCATGTACACGTAATGTGAGTTTCTCTCACAAAACAAGTACTGCTAGATGGCTAAACATGTAGTACTGAAAGCTCTCTTGATTGTTCTACAATGGGCGCTTTGTTTGATCGAGTCTCAAGATGTTCATTCCTCAGTCAGACAGGAAAATTCCTATTTATTTCAATGTTTAACATAAAAAAGATAGACCAAATATGTTTTAAGTAGACAGTAGACGTCAAGCAATTACAATGGGATGCATTGCAGCACTGATTTTTTTTTATTTAAGATCATCCAGTCTGTCTCTAACTTCTTAAAAAAGAAAAATTAAAATTAAAGAGATTTTGTTTCAACTTTATCTTCAATAAAAAAAAAATCATGTAAAACAAAATTAAACTTTTGAATTTTTGATTGACATTACATTGTAGTGCAGTGCAATATAAGTATAGGTAAATTATGAAGATACGAAGTATTAATACGCTTGCAGGTGAAAAAAGAATTACTCACCAGTCAAAGAGGAATGTTGATTTCTTCAGAATATTTTTCGCTTGTCCATAAACTAGTCGTTCGATAAAAAATTATCAATACGTACAACTTTGTCAAAAGAGTCCCCCGACATAATTAAGTGCTGGAGACTGTTAATTGAAATTTGTATGAAAGAATACATGCAGTCATATATCAATTAAAAAATAAATAAAATATTTCATGCAGTCTGTTTTTTCCATAAAACTTTTTTTTTTTCAAAACACTAATTTAAAGAATCAGATTTTTAATTCAATTACAAAAAAGCAACTAACTTTATTTTGATTGGATAATTTGCCAGGCACTACAATGGGTAGCATTGTTTTGCAGAAGAGTGCGCATGCAGTATATTTTACGTAAACGCTAACTAGTCATTTGATTTCAAAAAGAAAGAAAATCAATACGTAACTCTGTCAACATGTCTTTTGTCATAATTACTGGATTGTTAAATCAGAATCATATGAAAGAGAACAATTTTATATTAAGTAAATTGGATTCAATTGAAATCCATCCAGATTTTAATTAATTTAACTTGAATTAAATAGAATCCATTCAACTTTTATTTCAAAACACAAAATTAAGAAAAACTAAAGTTTGCAGTGTAAATGCATTGCAATAAAGTGTCGTCATATTCTCATAAAGAAAAGATATATTTATTCTGTCACAAATAAAATAAAACCCTTATCAGTCAAAGAGGATTGATCATTTCTTCAGGATGTAATGCGCATATCCAAACTAGTGCTTCGATAAAATATTATCAATGCGTAACTTTGTCGAAAAAGTCCTCCGACACAATTCTTTTGATGTAATTACTGGGTTGTTAATTGAGATTTATATGAAAGAGAACAGTCATATATTAGTAGAATGTGAATAAAATAGTTCTTTCAGTTTGTTTCTTTCTTTCTTTTTTTTTCCAAAACACTATTTAAAGGAAAAAAAAGTGTTTAATCATATTTTTAGTTCAATTACAACAAACTGACTAAGTAAGGGATACAAGACGAAGATGGTCTAATATGTCAGATACGGGACTGGGACGAGGTGCGAAGCACCGAGTCTCAGTCCCGTATCTGACATAATAGACCATCTGAGTTTTGTATCTTACTTAAAACATTTTTTTCAATGCACTTTTGTATTGCTATAATCATAATATGATACTTGTGATGGTGACCAAACCAGATGGATGGGGCGCTTAAGGGTTTCAGATATTTCTTTCAAAGGGATGAATAGATTTTGATTTAAAAACCTTTATTGAACCCCAATCATATATTATTTATTGTTGCGACACTCTACGGACGCATTAAGAAGAGCTGAGCAACTTCATGATAATAAGCGATTCTGAGAGTATTGTGAAGGATCTTTTTTTAACGTATGAAGATTTTTAAGTGACCATTAGGCAAATAAATTCCAGGAATTAAAGTGCCGTTTTTTGTCCCTTGGATATCGAAAGCACCACATCTTTACGTAAATGAATTTGGAAATATATTCTGAAATTAAATTTTCCGGGGGAAAAATCGGAGTCGTATGGGATATATAAACAGATCGAGTGTAAACTTGTCCGAATGTAATGTTCTACAATGGACCACTTTACGTGGATTTATTTGGATGTGTTTTCGGAAAAATCACAAGTTTAAGATAACTGCTTCAATATCGGTTATTTCACCATCAGTGACCTGTCTGGACGGAGTGTAAATTCTACTGGATATCTGAGATACTCCTATTTTGAAGTTTTGTTGCATAAATTGGTTTCTTTAAAGTTTAAATTGGATTACGAGATGTTGATTGCTCCATTGCTTGAACTGGATTACGAGATTGTTTTCTATATAAAATGCATAATGTTTGTTTATTTTCTGCCTTATTCATTCGCTGTGCAAAATCCTTTGTTTCACACAGTCCAGTATTATTTTGGAGTACAATATTAGATATAATATTGTACTCCTGACAATAATATTGGACTATAGCTAGTACCCTCTTTGAAATACGAGACTGTAGAAACAAAAGAATGACGTCACAAAAATGTTTTAAGTTTATTTTTATTGGATGATTTGCTAGGCACTACAATGTGTTGCACTGTGTTGCAGTAGAGTGCAGTAATGGTGCAGTAGGTTATACTTGTATTTCAACAAGCACAATTAGTTAATGCCCTTTAGAAACATTTCCCACCATCCACCCTCCAAAGTCACCCTTTATATACAATTTCCTCTTGCGGCTGAAAGTTTGTTGCAAAATTTGCATACTGTCAGTTTCTTACAAAGTTCGATAATCAAATTATGCCCCTTTGAACAACGTAGACAAAACGATTATGCAAATGTTTAGGCAATATTAACGGATAACAAGCTTGTATACTACTGTAAACCAACTTTTATTCGCGTGCGAGAAATTTTCGCGAAGTTCGCGAAAGCCTCGTCATCGCGAATATTTCTCGCCGCGAACCTGTCTTTAAAGTATTTATATCTAGTTAAAACAGATGCGAAAAAGCTTGATCGCGAAAATTAATCGTCGCGGATTAGTTTATTCCTGGTCAATCGCGAAATAAAGTCGTCGCGAATAAAAGTTGGTTTACAGTATATAAGACAAGAGAGTCACTCACACATGTTAAGTATGGTCTTGCGTGTACACGTAATGTGAGTTTCTCTCACAAAACAAGTACTGCTAGATGGCTAAGCATGTAGTACTGAAAGCTCTCTTGATTGTTCTACAATGGGCGCTTTGTTTGATCGAGTCTTAAGATGTAATTTTGTGCTCTAATCATACTGAAAAATGAAGGAATTTTGTTTAAATTTGGTTTATTTGAATAACAAGAGTCATGTTTATCTGCAGTTATTTTTTTTTCAATTTCTTTGATATTTTTTAAAATAATTATCTGAGTAAATTCTATTTTAACATGATTATTTTAAAGGAATTACATCACAAATGCTTAAAAAAAATTCAAAAGATGGTGTAAATAATAAAAAATTATTATATAAGCTACTAGATGCATTTATCAGTATGTTTTAATAAAATAAAATGTATTTCAGCAATGCATTATCAAGAAGGAAGAGATTAATGAACCCTACCCTCTTACAATGAACAACACATGGACACTCTCGGGATGATCCGTTTGCTTTCATTAAGAGTTCCAAGGTATGATTTTCTTAGAAAATCTAGTTAATCTCTTAATATTTAAGTTATTTAGAACTTTTTATAGATTATCAGAAAATAAATTTCCTCAGAACTGCAGTTATTTAAACACTTTGCGTACAATTGAGCACTGTATTCAGTCAGACAATATGATTTATCTGCCCTTGGCATTTAATCAATTTATTAATTATGTCAATAATAAGAAATGATATGCAAATAAATATATTTGCCTTTTATGAGAATATACATATTTAACATCAATTACATGAAATGTTCATGAAAATTGGCTAAAATGTAGCTCACCCCCCTTCAAAATTACAAAATTTTCAGTGGGGATGTATTTGATTCTCTGATGCCAGGAACCCACTGCTGATAGAATTTGTTTTAATCTTATGTACATTTGAACTAGATATAATTCTCTTTCTTTCCATTGATTATTTTATCGACATTAGTTTTCACTCTTTCCATAACCCCGCTTTTTCTTACAAAAACCTGCTGATTTTCTTCATTTTTCATTAATAACGGGTACCTGCTACCCTGAATGATTAACATGATCTACCTTGAGAAATTATTAGAGGTAATAAGAAAAACAAGCAAAACATATGCTAGATTAATCATTTTATTTGAAAAGTTTGAAAGAAAAATAGAAAAATGCTTCAATTTATAGACATCTTTTCTGTTTCACAGATGTTGGTCTGATTGACTGGGGTGTGAAATGTAACAGCCAATGGTGTACTTAAGCTAAGACTGTCAGTCCCAATAATCAAGAGGTGAGATAAGCAATGGATATGTGTTCTAAATTTACTAAATTGACCACTTTTTATAAATGTTTCTTTTACTCTATAGGAAAAACCCCTACATAAACAAATACATGGGCGCAGACATTTTGGACACCCAAAGTTGTGCGGAGGAGAAAATGCTAGCTGGCGCGTGATTGGTCAATAAGAGAAAAGACTTGTTATGTATTTGACAAGTGAAATAAAGTTGATAAAAATCTCATATCAAGACTTGGGTTTCTTTGAGGTATATAGGAGTTACAGGTAAAAATTTGAAGGGAGGAATGCACTTTGGTGAGAGATTTTCATTTGGTGTCAAACGCACCTAGTTGTAAACAAATGGAAATTGAAAGTAAAAGTGCAACGGCACGGTATATTTTTTCTGGCATTTTTTGTTTTCCAATATCTCGAACTTTCACGACAAAAAGGTCATTTGCCCGAAATTCCATACATGTATCAGTGAGAGGGGCTAAAGTTTGTATGGAAGTCTATGGGAAAACATTTGGTGGTGTTTGTCCTTATATGGTATGATATGAAAGTTTGAAGTCGCTGTGCGTTTCTGCGGAATTAAAACAATCTAAATAACAATATTTAACATTAATATAATAATATATTAAAAAGAGTGTCTAAATGTTTAACAAGAATGCACAATAAACATAAAATTATTTTTTTTTTTAGAGAATGAGGTAAATATTTCATCCAATCCTGATTGAGAAACTTAGACATGTAGCACTGGTTCTCTGCCCTTGATTCCAGTCGCTGCCGCTAGGAATTACAAGTGTGGTTTTTAGGTGTCATAACAGTATTACACTTGGTGTCATAACAGTATTACACTTTGGTTCACGTCAAATCATGGCTGACGCAAAATAATCCTGGAATCTTTCCTTCCGATTCGGGCATTTTGATACGAGACTGGAGCTGAATTTTTTTATGAGATGAAAAACAGCATGTAAACTTCCTGTATTGACCAGATTTATTAAAATTTAGGACGTACTGATTTTTCTATATACTGTCAAGAGTGGGGAGTGATTAGGCCTTGGACTAGATTTTCAAGCACCTGCTCGACTTCGACCGAAACAAACTTGCGTGCCTTGCTGGATGGCTATGTATTTTTTGGTACTAAAATCTTTATAAAGAATGGTTTTACAAGATCTGAAAAGGAAACTTCTCAGAAGTTTGTTTTGAATTAGTTACATCTACTCAAACTTGCGCATTTTTGGTAAGAATATATAGCAGAAATTAATACTGTTGTGACACCTATTTAGGGCGCTTGCGCCCGTTAACCAATGTCAGGGTACCAGTCTAACATGTTTGAGGTGCGGAGAAAATTAGGACATGTGTTGGGCATAGTCTAAAGCAAAGACCGCGTTATGTATATTGCACAATTTTACTTTCTCTATTTAAACAGGATTTGTCGTATGTATTTATTTTAAAATGACGTGTTCACGTGTACATATATAAAAATTTTCAAAAATATGGTTAAATGTTAATTCATCAAAAGGCCTAGCGAGCTACAGAATATTACAAGATTTGGCCATAGCAGACGAGGATAATGCGCGATTTACAATGTGCCAAGAATTTTCCCGCTACAACTCAAAGAAACTGAAAGAGAAGAAATGTAGTGGCGGATCTAGAGGGAGTTTAGTTTTTTCCTCTAAGAGAGAGCAAGGAGCCCCTCATATTTGTTGCGTTTTTATTAAATTAAAACTACACTGCATATCTAGTTGTAGATTACATTAAACTTTAGTTTTAAACTTTTAATGTAAATGCCTCTTAATTATACAGGCCCATGGTTTGTTGGCGCACAGGACCAGGGGTACTTTGCTTATATATACATGTAATACTGAACATGCATTATATAATTAAGAAAATCATGCAATGTCGTGCACAAGCGTTTAATGTCACGAGGATATATATTAACCAGGTCCAGTCCAAAGACTATTTCTACCTACGTAGGTATTAATAGCTACGTAGGTATTTAAAGCTACCCAAAGTAGCTATTTTTACCTACTTTCTGCTTTACTTGCATTTTGTGGCCAAATGCATGAACGGTGCAACATGGTGAGTACATAATTTCTTGATACAGTCACACTGATGATGAGTATGACAAAAATTTGGCCAAAAAATGAAAACTTCGTATATTATCAATTTTGCATAGAAACTAATGTAAAATTGCCGATTCAGGAAGTAATCATTTTTTGGTAAAAATTTTGTCGTATTCATCATTAGTGTCACCATATCAAAAAATATGGTATTTACCATGTTGCGCCGTTTGGTCTTTTGGTCGCAAAATGCAGAAATTATATAAAGTAGGTAAAAATAGCTACTTTTGGTAGCTTTAAATACCTAGGTAGCTATTAATAGCTACGTAGGTAGAAATAGTCTTTGGACTGGACCTGTTAACAGATAAATATAAGAAATTTTAAAAACAGATCACCATTTCAGTCTTTAGTTGCTTCATAAAATTAAAGGAACAATTAATTGGTTTGCGGCCGATTTTTGACGCTTGCGTCGATATATGTTTCTTGTTTACCCCTGGCAGGCAATCGGCAATCCTCGGCTGACTCCGCTACGCTCCATTCTGCGAGGTACGAGTCATCCGAGGAACTCCGATTGCCTGGCAGGTGGTAGACTGGCCTTTGGTAACGGGATGTTTCGCACCTATGCATGGTTCGTGCTACGATGTTTCGCACCCATTCCGTTTCGCGCTCAGATGGTTCTATGGAACGCCACAGCTGTCTTAAGGGTACAAGATATATATCTTAGTGTCAAATCGATATAACATTAAGGCTTCCCTTTATATCATTAAGTCTATTTTATATATTATGTAGTACAAAAAACACATCATAACCTCAATTTAATATAACATTTAGTCTATCCATTATATCATTAAGTCCTCTTTATATAACATGTAGTCCGTTCTCTATATCATTAAGTCAAATTTATATAACGTATGGTCCATTCTTTATATCATTAAGTCCAATTAATATAACATGTCCGTTTTTTACATCATTAAGTCCTCTTTATATAACATGTAGTCCGTTCTTTATATCATTAAGTCCAATTTATATAACATGTTGTCCGTTCTGTATATCATTAAGTCCACTTTATATAATATGTAGTCCATTCTTTATATAATTAAGTCCAATTTATATAACATGTAGTCCATTCCGTTTATCATTAAGTCCAATTAATATAACATGTTGTCCGTTCTATATATCATTAAGTCCAATTTATATGACATGTTGTCCGTTCTGTATATCATTAAGTCCACTTTATATAATATGTAGTCCGTTCTTTATATCATTAAGTCCAATTTATATAACATGTAGTCCATTCCGTTTATCATTAAGTCCAATTAATATAACATGTTCTCCGTTCTGTATATCATTAAGTCCACTTTATATAACATGTGGTCCATTCTTTATATCATTAAGTCCAATTATTATAACATGTTGTCCGTTTTTTACACCATTAAGTCCAATTTATATAACATGTAGTCCATTCTTTATATCATTAAGTCCAATTAATATAATATGTTGTCTGTTCTGTATATCATTAAGTCCACTTTATATAATAAGTAGTCCGTTCTTTATATCATTAAGTCCAATTTACATAACATATTGTCCGTTTTTTACATCATTAAGTCCAATTTATGTAACATGTAGTCCATACTTTATATCATTGAGTCCAATTAATATAACATGTTGTCCGTTCTGTATATCATTAAGTTCACTTTATATAATATGTAGTCCGTTCTTTATATCATTAAGTCCAATTTATATAACATGTAGTCTATTTTTTATATCATTAAGTCCAATATTTATATAACATGTTGTCCGTTCTTTATATAATTAAGTGCAGTTCATATAATATGTAGTACTATTCATACAATATGTAGTGAAAAGGCACAAAAATATGTCAAAACAATGTATTACATTGTCTGATCTTCATAATATACAGTCAAAATAAACTGCGATATTGTCAAAATATATATCATCAAGTCATTAAAATATGGCATGGTGTCCAAAAGTGAAAACGTTAAGTCAGTACAGCGTATCGTTATGACGAACTCTTACATTATGTTGAGTTCCGAATGTGTTCATTCGGAAATTTTCGCGCCAAAACGGTTCTAAAAGCAAGATGAATGGCCTGCGGGAATGTCTGATGGAGCTAGGGATACCGAGCGCCTATCCCAATTTTGAAAGAGAAAACATTTCAATTGAGATGATAGAGGTACTCTCAGATGAAGAACTGAAAAGACTTGGCGTTGAAACGATCGGATTACGCCACAAGTTAAAAAAACTTGTGCATGGGAAAACAACGGTCACAGAGCATACCGCTATAAGTACCAGAAACGAACGAGCCCGACTATTCAGTCCTTACTCTCGCACTGCAGGTACTAAAGCCGGGAAAAAGATGCGCCAAAAAGACAAGTTTATAACCATGAATTTTTTATGTCTGGCACATACAGGCCAAAAATTTGTTCCAAATGCATTGGAAAAAGAAACTTTGAATAAAGCTGGACTTGGTAAGAAAAAAATTGTTTTAAAAAAATCAGATGATGAAAATGAATTAGCAGCAAAACTTATTTCGCAAGAATTAAATGAAGAAGGGGAAATTGTAGGATTTCCAAAATTAGCTGAGGGGGGTGGCTTTGAACTACTGAGAAGTGCCCAAAATTACAGAGAGTTAACTTTGATAAACTGCGCATGGTCAGCAAAAGAACTGCAGAAAAATGTTAATCCCCAATCAACGATTTATATAAGGCCAATCCAAAAAGATCTTTCCACTGCTTCTATAGAAAATCCTCATGAGAAGTCTAGTGAATCAAGTTTAGAAGAGAAATGTGTAACATGTGGAAGGAAATTCTTGCTACGAGAACTGAGGAAACACACAGAAACATGTTCGGAAGCTGACACAGAAAATGATGTGCAAACAACAGACATTTTGAATATTAACATTCTTCCACAAACCATGCAGACTAACATAGCAAGCTCTCAGGAAATGCATGTTGAGGAAGTTGTTATTTTTCAAGACCAGGAATTGTTGTTAGAAAACACTGTAGAAAGTAACCACATCAGCGATCTAGCTGTGACTGAAGTTTTGCCTGTATCTGTGCAAAATGTTGAAACAGTTTCAGATGTGACCAGCAGAATTATTGAGTTTTGTAAAGTACAAAATATCGCAGATCCGGTAGAAATTTTACGCAAAGTACAGAAAGAAATGGTCACAGGACGGCCTTTGGAAGTGATTGATGTAACAGAGAATTCTGAGGGTGATACAAACTTTATTTTAATTGACAGAACACATCTGTTGGAGACTGGTTTTGATGAAATCAAAGCAATCAGTGATGTCCGAAAAACTCTAGAAGTACAATTTTATGATGAGGTTGGTAATGCACTAATGGTTGTGTATTGTGTTGTTAAATGCGCTAGGCAATCATTAAAAATACTTTTGTTTGATGTACTCCAACCCACATTAATATTTCTCAAGGTGGGTAGGTAGACAGGGTTTTTTTTGCAGTATCAAACAAGATGTGTTTGTGAAACACAATGCGCCCGGTGGCAACAAAAATCTAAAAAGCTATTTTAAGCATACTTGCATAGGTCACAGTCAAGGTTACCAGGTCATTGACCTTGAAGTCATTGGAAAGAACTTGATTAGTGGAGTATGCACACCAAATATGAAGTCTCTATCTTTTATGGTTCAAAAGTTATGGTGAAAGTTACAAAACCACTATTTTTAGCATATAGGTCACAGTCAAGGTCACCAGGTCATTGACCTTGGTGTCATTTGAAAGAACTTTATTTGTGTAGTATGCATACTAAATATGAAGTCTCTATCTTTTATGGTTCAAAAGTTATGGCAAAGGTTAAAGTTTGCAGACAGAAAAGCTATTTTTAGCATATAGGTCACATTCAAGGTCACAAGATCATGAATATTAGTGTCAATTGAAAGCACCTCATTAGTGAAGTATGCATACCAAATATGAAGTTTCTACCTTTCATGCTTCAAAAGTTATGGCGAAGGTTAAAGTTTGGGGACAAACAAACAAACAGACAGACAGACAGGACAAAAACAATATACGCCTCGGATCTATCGATCCGGGCCCATAAAAATTTGAAAATTGTCATAAGACTTCAGATTTATTGATGTTAACTTTCATGATATACTGGATAAGACAGTTATAATATATATATATAGTTATAAAAAAAAATTGAATGTTCAAATTACAAAACTTCTTTAAATTGAAACAATCTCTGTTTCCCTTAACCCCCCCCCCCCCCCCCCCCCCCCAAGAAAAAAAAACATGAAAAAAAAATATTTAAAACTGGGGCAATTTTGATAGGTCAGCTGGAGTACATCAAACATATAATTTATTTATTGCTGGCCTTAAAATAGTAAAGATGTATTTGGATTAGTCCGGGGGATGGGGGGGAGGGCATAAAGGTATTTTTATTCTTTTAAATGCTAAATTTGCATTTTGTTGGCTAGACTAGACACAGTTACACTCAACTTTCACATATGAGTAAATTTTCTCCTGTTGAATTGAACACTTAACTTAAGGTCACCTTAGGCAAGAAGAAATTGTTTATCTGAATATAATTATTATACCCCCTGCTTGAAAAGTGGGAGAGTATTACTGTTTATAGAAATCGGTATGTCCGTCCGTCTGTTATGCTTTGGGGTACCCGTCTTTTATCCACAACTCCTCTCATTCCACTGAAGGAAATTTAATGAAACTTTCACAGAATCTTTATTACGTATTGCCATTGTGACCTCCTATTTTACTTTTTGATCCGATTCATATTTTGGGTTTCCCGGCCACAGCAAAACATGGACTTTGTCATCAGTTATAACCATATGGGAGGTGGGGGTATCAATAATGAGCTCATTGCTCACAGTACCTCTAGTTAATGTTACACCCAGGTTCATGGACTGGAGTAAACATGGTAAATGAGAACAGCAAAATTATTAAATTACAAGATTTTAGAGTAATTTAAGCTCACTGCTTTAGAGACCAACCTCATTGGTAACCACTACAGGAGTATATATTGTGCATATAAGTAGAACAGAATGTTCTAAGCCTTTGCTCAGAAGTCTTGATACATTTGATACAAGACAGGTGAATTGATGCTCCCAGTTCAGGTGTCAGCTAGATGAGGTAAAAAGCATGCTTACTGTAACAATGAATACTTGATATCACAATTACTTAACTTAGCGGAACTCTTTCACAGGTGATATTGAATACAATGCAAGATTGATCATTGTAGAATTTATAAGGGTAGATAAGTAAAAAATCCTGCTGGAATACTTAGTACCTTGCTAAACAATCGCTGAATCAGTCTAATCAATTTTTGAGAGGAGTTAATCCGAAGATGTTACATTTTTAATGATATTTTTAACTTAGCAGACTAGTACTCTTCTCATTTAAATGTTCTGTTGAATCATCCTCAGGTAGTGTAGATTCAAGTTTGTTCAAATCATGACCTCTGGGCCAGGGGTTAGGATGGGCTACAATGGCTAATCAAAGTTTTACATAGAAATATATAGGAAAAATCTTTAAAAATCTTCTTCTCAAGAACAATTGGGACAAGAAAGATAAAACTCATGTTGGATCATCCTCAGATAGGTAGGGTGGGGCCACAATGGCCGATCAATCTTTAAAAATCTTTTTCTCAAGAAGTTATATATATGCAGTATTGATACGGATGCATTCTCAAGTAGTATTAGAATTCAAGCCCTCTCATGACCCCCCCCCCTTCAGTGAACTTCTGATCTGAATAATGTGCTTTTTCCTAGCTGATGTGCTCAGGTGAGCGATGTGGCCCCTGGGCCTCTTGTTTTTAATTATGTAATTAAATACAGTGTTACTGTTTGTTTCAGACGGCTGTAGACTATGGTGGACCCCGGAAAGAGTTCTTTCGTTTAATGTTAAAGTCAATTAAAGAAAAATATTTTGATAAGGGACTCCGAGAATTAATCTGTGAAGATTACGAAGTTATCGGAAAGACCTTTGGTTTGTATTAATTATTAAATTTGACTCTCGGTATACCTTGTAATCATCATCTTTGCATACTTCAATACTTGGTACTTTTTTATGAAGAATTTTAGTCAATTTTAGTTGCCCTTAAGCAAAGAGCTGTGTCAGGCAATTTACTATCAGCCAAATAGTTCATACTTCCATGACCGCATGGCACAGTGGTTAGATCATCTGCTGTAGAGTCGCAAAGTAAGGAGTCAATCCTTATGTTGAAGGTTCAAATCCCACTGCTGTGGAGAGCGGTCCTTTGGATGAGACTGTATAAAACGAAGTCCCGTGTAGCAGTAGGTGCTGGCATTAAAAAGGTCCCTCCCTGCTCAATGGCCCTGAGTGCCGAGTATAGGACAAAATTTGCAGCTCACCACCGGCAATTGGTGGCGTCTCCATTTGAGTGAAAAATTCTCGAGAGGGACATTAAACAATACACAATCAATACTCTTCACTGTAGTTAAATGTACCATATATATCATACTTTGAAATATGTACATGTAATTTAAAGTAAATTCGCATCCTAATTTATTTTTTATGCCCCCACCATGGCAACAGTTGCACACATTAAACTTAATGTAACATATGAATAGGAATTTGCAGGTCAAGTTTAAATTTTGTCCTGGTCTGATGATTTTTAACAGTTTATAATCCTTTTTAACCTTCATACAAATTTAAAAATATGGCATTTGAAATTCTGTCTGCCTGCAGGGGCATTTGTGTCAACACATCTGGTTTAACAAAAGAACTTTGCACTGGAGAGATTATTTAATCTGGACAATTCTTAAAATTAAAAAAAAAAAAACAAGAACAGAATAAATTCAAATAATTGATTCCCAATAGGAAGAGTGGTAATATTAATGTGACAAATAGAGGGAAATCTTTATGCTTGTAGCTGAACAAGTGTCATAATTATATGTTTTATGTACTAGTATTATGATGCAGGATGTATATGTAGATTTTGAAGTTAAAATGCAGGTTGATGGAAATGTTTTTGCTGTATTTCAGCTTTAAGTATTCTACAAAATGGCCAAATTCCAACTTTCCTAGAGCCAGAGATAATCCAGAAGATATTTTCTGATTCCATGGACCATCCATGCATCACAAGTTTGAGAAAAGGACTTGAGACATTGGGATTGTATACAGTAATTTTTTTTAATGAATCCAGCAGAAGCAAACTTTTATTCCATATGACTAATTAATATTCTTATTAAAATAAAATTAGTTCCTGTAATACATGATTTCTAGTTTATAAGAATATTTTACAGTTCTAATTGTCATGTACGGTAATGTACTGGTAATTATTTAGTTTCAATCATCTTTAAAGACTAGACATGACAGAAAGGACATATCACATAACATATCGTAGAAACCGTCAATGTTTTGATATTTAATTAGGTAAATGCATAGAATGTGGCACTATAGGAAAAATAAATATTGCAAGAAAATAAATGCACAAGCAAGATATTATTGATAATTCTAAGCTCTGAGTCTCAAATAATTGAAAAGGTCAAAATTGCCAATGTTTTTATCCTCATAGTACACAATGCTCAGTGCTGTATAAAAAAAAGTTGACCCAATATTGCCTCATAGGGGCATAGATGTTTCTAAAACATTTCTTGTCACTTGAGAAAAATGTTAATAACATAATTCTGTACAAAATTGGTTATAATAGTAAATCCCTAAAAGGAGGACAGTAAAACAAACTTTAAAAAGTGAAGTTGTACGTTTTTTTACATCTTTGATCTGTTGTTTATTTTTTCCAGATTGGTATGCAGCTTCCAAGTTTTCTTTACCTTTTCCAAAGACATTCTACACCATTGACATTCAGGATGCTTACAACACTTTTGAAACCTCAGTTTTCATTAGAGGGCAGCAACAACATTGAAGTGGAGAAGAAAGTTTATGCTGCATTTGTCCGTTATTTACGAGAAGTTGCAAGTAAGATTTAAAGTCCATAAAATTGTATTAAATTAGAAACACAGAAATTTCTAGACACACAAAAAATCATATTTATTTAGTTTCTCATCCATATTTGCAAAATCGATCATGCTTGAGACAGGTGGATTTTATTTTTCAAAAGGCTCGAGTGAGCTTTTCTGATTACATTTTGTCCTGCGTCCGTCTGTCTGTAAACTTTTCACATTTTCAACTTCTTCTCAAGAACCACTGGGCCAATTTCAACCAAACTTGCCACAAAGCATTCTTGAGTGAAGGGGATTCACGATTGAAGGGCCACACCCTCATTCAAAGGGAGATAATTGGGAATTTATGAAAATTTGGTGGCATGTTTTAAAAAATCTTCTCAAGAACCACTGGGCCAGAAAAGCTGAAACTTATGTGGAAGCATCCTGGGGTAGAGTAGATTCTGAATTGTTCAAATCATGAACCCCCCCCCCCCCCTGTGTTGGACGGGGCCACAATAGGGAATAAAAGTTTAACATAGAGATATATAGGGAAAATCTTTGAAAATCTTCTCAAGAACCACTGGGCCAGAATAGCTGAAATTTATATGAATGCATCCTGGGATATTGTAGATTTTAAATTGTCCAAACTATGATCTGTGGGGTACAATGGGTCACAGTAGGTCACAAGGGAAAAAATCTGGTTAAGAATAGCACTAGCATTGTCATGCAAAGCTTCTCATGTGAGCGATGTGGCCCATAGGCCTCTTGTCATAAATTAGTGTTTAGCTCAGTTTTAAAGAAATCATTTCAGATATTTTTATCAAATTTCATATGTTGATACATACTGATGAGAGCTATTCAACTATTTCAACATTTTACCTTGACCTTGAACTCACTTTTCCTAAAATGACCTAAATTAGTGTCAAACTTCATATGCTGATACATACTTGTGTAAGCTTCTAAGCACTTCAACTGCATCACTATTCAAGAAATTATGATCAAATTTCATAAACAATTATAGTTTCTAGTTATATGTAAGCATCCACAGGTAGTGTAGATTTAAGTTTGTTCAGTTCATGCCCCCTCCCTTTAGGGATTGGTTGATACCACTCATAAAATACTGAATTGGCCTAATTGTGCTCAGATGAGCGATGTGGTCCATGGGCCTCTTGTTTCAGTTGGTGCATCTTGGGGCATATCTATAACATAAATTACATAGATAAATTTAATAAACCACTGGGGGAATTGCAAATGAACGGACTGCATAAATGGAGAATAATGAATGTGTTTTGAATTTTTTTTTTGCAAAAACTTCATGCTTTTATAAGAAGCAAATTCTGTGAAGTGAAAAGGATAAATTTGATTTTAATTTTTCTATGAGCAACAATATACATGTACAAGTATGATAAATCCCAATGTTATTTAATTTTTTGCAGGTGGTCGAAGAGAACACTTATCCATAGGGAACATTTTACAATTTGTAACTGGAGCTGAAGAAGAGCCAGTCTTAGGGTTTCAAATACCACCTACTATTCAGTTTCCAGAAGTAATTAATTCATTTATTCCAACAGCAAACACATGTATCAACTCTCTCCAACTACCACGACCAAAGCCAAGCATTGATACAAATCTTCCAGAAGATAAAGAGCTGTTTGCTTTGTATGATTACGCATTCTTAAATTCTTATTATGGTTTGCGGTAATTTTTTACCAATTTTTATTGCAAGCCATTCATTAATTATTACCTTGCAAAAACAGTTTTTGTCTGGTTCATGGGCCCCTTGTTTTAAATTTGTCTCCAAATTTGTAGAAATATCATCTACTATATGGTCAGTAAGTCAAAAAATAAAAAGTTCAGACAGTCTGAAGGGTTTCTTTAAACAAATGTATATATGTGATTGATTACAGTTTGATTACAATTTTCAACCAGAGACATTTTGTCAAGGTTCAAGAATTGATAATAATATACAATGTACTGAAGTAAAACCAATCCATTTTTAGTAATGTTGAGATTGTTGTAAAATTTTTCCAAATTTGTTTTTTTTCCATTTTCAGTTTTAGCAATGGGTATATGCTTTATGTTCAGAGGTACTTTACAATACATGCATGTATTACCGATGCTAAACCAAAACTTGAGTGTCAAGTGAAAAGCTCAGCTTTCATTGTTAGGCTATGTTAACAAGGCTTTTAAGCAAAAGAAAATCATCTTTTAAAAGGTTTGACCACTAAATTGAAAAATACGTTAAAATTTTATTATTATTATTAATTATGATATAAATTAAATTCCCTTTGGGTGTCTCATTTTTACATGAATTATGCTACATTTAGCTAGGTAGCCTCGTTTTCAGTTTAAGATCAATAGCCATTGACATGGTATTCTTCATGGTATAGCATGTTCGAAATGGTATTGCATGTTCGACATGGTATTCTTCATAGCCTCATATACCACTATTATGCTGATGTTACATGTATGACATAAACCATAATTTTGTAACATGTAATGTTAATTTTAGACATATATATGTACTTTTGAGTCACAGACCATGTAGTTTTGCAGACTTAAACAATTTATCATATTTTTTTTATTACATGGTATCTGAATTTCTTCTGTTTTCATGTCATATCAAAACTTTATGAGGTTTTGCATGTAATTAAGTTATTGTATGAAATCTTTTTATTCTGATGCTAAAAGATTTAAAGCCAATGTCACAAACTCATGAATGCATTAAAAATTCTGTCAAAGTGGTAAAGCACTAGCCTCCACCATATAATTACATTTGTATGTGTTTTAAAAGGATGGTACAATGGACTACCATCCTATGACAATTTCATCTTGTGCATTACTACACTTGCTTTTTACTAGTCTTATATTGAAATACCTTTTTTCATGGCTACTGCAAAAACAATGAGTAAATTCATTTTTCATGCTATCTCCACCTACTGTTTTGAAAATCTTTGAAATGTTCAAAATGGGACATAAATTCCCTGAATTTAAATCTTGTTATTTTTTATAGAAAGTGTACATGTATTTACTGGTACTTGGTTTGTGTAGAATTACATTCTGATGCATTGAAATTATAGTATGCATTTGATTTTTTAACCATTATCTAGGGGAGATTTTCATTTTGGTATGCAACTACATATATTTGAATTCATATCTATTTTAATTATGAAAAAAAGTGATTTTGATTTTGTACTTTAGTCACTAGGTATGAGATATTCAACATTTTGTGAAATGTAATCAAAACATCCATTCTTTGGTCACCCGAGTCACTCGGGCTGCTCTTGTTGTAAGTTGTCATTTGTTTATGTGTGTCCGTCAAAAACTTTTCATCGTGCTTTGCGTTAAGCTCATTTCAAAGTTCAGTTGCAAAGAAAATATTCAAGATATTTTTATCAAATTTCATAGATACTGAGTATTGATGAGAGGCATTCAACTGAATCAAAAACTTTTGACCTTTTACTTACCTGTGACCCTGACCTCATTTTTATTTGTATTTTGCTGAATTTTAAGTTTCATCGATACTCTGATTAGATAGATAACTCTTATTGACATCAATTTCTATTATTTTTAATCCTACCCCACACCCCTACCAAAATTTTACATTATCCAGAATAATGTTCAGATCATTTATCTTCCTATCATTGCATCATAACAATAAACTACTGTGCATTTAATGTACTAGTTATTCTATGGATCATGCACTGCCTGTCTGGAATGTATTATGTTTGGGTGACTGTTTAGGCCATAAGCTTCTTGTTATGGACCCAATGTTCATATTTGTCTGCACATTTCATGTTAAATTGTCTTGTTAAAAAGTTTCATTTCATGTTATGTAGAATATTTTATGTTTGTAATTACATACAGATAATATATTAAATTTTATGATTTTTTTTTTTTTGATTACGCTTTTTTTTTTTACATTATATTGCAAGCACAAATTAATTTCAAACCACTGATTTGTCTTTAAAAATGAATAAAATCTCAGAAAATGTTTTATTTTGTACACTGGTTGGAATAAATGGAAAGCCAACGGGTTCAAAATTCCAACTCTGACCTCAAATCTACACTTTGAAAAATAGTTGAATATTTCTACAATAACATTAATATCATTTACTAGTACCTAACATATTGTTTACTTTAGATTTTAAACATATTAATAGATATGATAAAAGGAGGCACGTACCCATTCTCTGTCTACCTCAAATAAACGTCTCTCCCGAGTCAAAAAATTTGGGTTTTGATGATCGCCATGCTTATTTTTGGAAAGGATATTCTTATCCACCCATTCTGTTGCCGAGATATGGCCATTTTTGACAAAAAACTCTTCTTGTTATAAAATTTAACTTGCATTGAAAGAATTATAAAACTCGGAAAATCTTTCAACTTTTGTGACAAAACGCTACGGAGGCGGTCATGTGGTCGCCTATATGACGTAATTCGCTCAAGAGCAGAACGGTGACCGATGTGCATTAAAATCGGAGAGGATTAATTAAAATTTAAATATAATCAACACTGAAATCAAATATTGTTTCCCTTACGGAAGTTATTCATTTAGTTCGCGAACTTTTTGATCACCCCTTGCACATATGTACATATCGAATTACAGAGTTAAAAATTTGAACCCGTTAGCTTTGCATAAAAGGTTTATTGAATATGGTTAATTTCCTGATGATTCTTTATAATTTGGAGAGATTTTGTGTACATTTCAATCAAAAAATTTGAAGAGTTCTCTGATATTTGGACTTCATTATCCAACTGTTGCTTGCACCCTCCGGTGATGATGGCACTAGATATAGAAGGAATTATCGGTCTCTCGTTAACGTTTTCATCATTGTTGTCAGCTTCCAGAAGAAATCCTTCTGTTCCATAATTGACATCAACAAAATCTATACCTGTAGGATTTTGAATTTGTCCTGCAACCCATAAACAATGTGGGGATGATTTTGTTGTTCTCATTCTGTGTGTAGCCCAGGCCTTTTCCCAGATTTTCAGCTTCTCGTTTATTTGTGGAACAAATACATAATGGAGAGCTGCAATATGTAGATCGTCCAGTGGATCTAATATTTCGTTGTCCTCCATGTGATAGAATAATTTGTAGAAGAAAGCAAGGACACCGGTATAAACGTCTCTCCAGAGACGTTCAATTCTCTGGTTATGTACACTTTTTCCCGTTAGCATGCTTCCTTTACCCAGCCCTCTGTTAGAGATCATGTAATCTGCTATAGCTGAATTTTCCAAACCTTTGTCTGAACGTACTCTAACTGGTAGTCCAAAACGAGAAACGCCATCACGAAAGCATTCTAAAAGAGTATCGGCTTTATTATTGTCCAGACATCTCAAGTAAATAACCATTCGGCTAAACCCATCTATGCCCCCAGCGATGACTAAATGCCAACGAATAAGTTTATGGTTAGTATCAACATGCCACAGATGGTTAGGCCCTTTCACATCATACACTCTACGCTTTAAACGGCCTTTTCTTCTGTCCCTTACACCTACTGCGTTGACACGATGTAGGCTTTCTCTAAGTCTCCATCGCTGTACATTAACAGATTTTTGTTTTAGTATTTGACCCAAAATGTTCTCTCCACAGTGCGGAAAATTTTCAGATGCCTTACTAACATGTACGTCTAGTTCATCATCGTCCATTTCTGAAAAATTTTGTTTTGATATTCCAAATGTTCGCATTCTGCGATATACAGTACTTTCAGATATAGAAAGAAGTCTAGCAATTTCTGCTATAGAAAACCCATCATTACTCAGGTTTTGCAATATACTTTCTGGTATCACAAATTCTGTTGTACCACTACCAATATGCTTCCGCTCGGGTGTGTGAAAACCATAGGTGATGCATTCATTTCGGAGTTTAACCATATCTGCTTTGTTGTTAATACCAAGACAATGCATTTCCTGGGATGACAGTAAACCCACAATATCAGGAGAAATATTTTGCTCTTGAAAACTCACTACATGGTCTTCCAGACCCAGTCTTCTCAGGATTTCGTCCATTTCACCAAAACTTGCCTTTTACTGTTTTCAAATGAACAAAGTCATACACATGTGTTTGCATTTTTTAGCGGGAAATTGATCTACATATTGCCTGAAAGTGACTTAACAAAACGTATTCGAGTATACTGTTAATATAAAACTGTATGAAGTATACAATAACCTATTATACGTTGATTTCACAAAAAACAAATACTTTTAGACTACATATTGTACGAAACCGACGTAGTGATGTTAAGTTTTGACTAAAAGAAATAAGCTTTTGGCTGCATGTTATTTGGAGATGTATTAAGTATTTTAATTTGATGGCCTAAAAAAACTTCTGTATTACATGTTATATAAATTGGACTTAATGATATAAAAAATAGACTACATGTTATTTAAATTGGACTTAATGATATAAGGAATAGACTACATGTTTTATAAATTGGACTTAATGATATAAAAAATAGACTACATGTTATATAAATTGGACTTAATGATATAAAGGATGAACTACATGTTATATAAATTGGACTTAATGATATAAAAAATAGACTACATGTTATATAAATTGGACTTAATGATATAAAGAATGAACTACATGTTATATAAACTGGACTTAATGATATAAAAAATAGACTACATGTTTTATAAATTGGACTTAATGATATAAAAAATAGACTACATGTTATATAAATTGGACTTAATGATATAAAGAATGAACTACATGTTATAAATATTGGACTTAATGATATAAAGAATGAACTACATGTTATATAAATTGGACTTAATGATATAAAGAATGGACAACATATTATATAAAAAGGACTTAGTGACAGTAAAAGATAGACTTGCATAAAGAATTGACTTATTGTTATACTTATCCGACTATGTGTTATTTTAATTTGACAGCATATTATAACTTCTGTACAACATGTTATATAAATTGGACTTAATGATATAAAAAATAGACTACATGTTATTTAAAAAGGACTTAATGATATCAAGTATAGACTAAATGTTATATTAAATTGACGTTATGATGTGTTTTTTGTACTACATAATATATAAAACAGACTTAATGATCTAAAAGGTAGACTTAATATTATATCGATTTGACACCATCATGTATATTTTGTACCCTTAAGACAGTTGTGGCGTTCCATATGGTTCGATTGTCAATTTTTTTTTTTTTTGATATATTTTTTTTAATTCAAGAAGATTATATTTGTAGCAGAGATATAATTATTTATGTCTGTGTTTGTAGTATACATAGCATATAATTATGAATTATTTTAACACCATGCTAATTATAATACCGCCATCTAATTAAGTAATTATTGTTGGCTTTGACTACCAACACGTCAATTAATAAATTCTCACCTTCTGATCTCCAACAATTAAATATTTTTTTTTAAATGGATAGAAATGGCCTTCCTGTCTGATATCTGATTTTCCTGCCGTACGGTAAATACCAGTTTAGGCAGGTGGTACATCTGATTTAGTAATAAACACACAAATTTGTCAAAGTTTTTACGTATTAATGAATTCATTTAAACCTAGAAAATGTGCCTGAAAAGTTTGAATAGTTTCTGTGCACCTTGAAAAGAGAAATCGCCAAAAATCAAAATCCCTGACCGTCGGGCTTCGGGAAAACTAGATATACCGCTTGCCGTTACTACTCGGCGCTACTTCCGTCGAGGCCTCATCTACACATGAACAGAGAGACATTTGATTTTTCATTATTTTTGTGAGTAAACAAACTAAAATTTGCGAGACTTAAAACAGAGGGAAGCATCCGAAGAGTTTGTCTGTAGGAGTTTACCGGAGACACACGGCGTTGAAAATTAACATTCTACTTTTCATCAGTTTCATTTTGTGGGATGAAAATACCAGTTGCCGTTGAATTCAGGTTTATATATATATATATATATATATATATGTGTACATGTGATCAATAGGGGCCTACATATACATTATACAGTAACGCTATTTATCATATCATTGCATTGACAGGTCTTGAAGGGGACCACGGTGGTTTGGTTAATAGCTATGATCTACAGCGTCGTGCCATAAGTATTCGCGGAAAAATGGCGGACGTGATCTGAGAGTTATCGCGCTTGCAACATAAAAGTCACCCAAATACAACAAAAACAAAACAAACGCTTACCTTTAGTACTTTGTTAAATGTCCCTTGGATCGTATACATGCCATGATGCGTTTTGGGATGGATTTATAAAAGTTTTGAATATATTCTATGGTGAAATTCTGCCAAGTGTGTAAAATAACATCGAACAACTGATCAGGGGTGGTAATATCTCTGGCGTGATTTTGGATCTGTCTTTTAATTCTATGCCAACAATTTTCAATATTAATGTCCGGACTCTGGGCCGGCCACACCATACCCCGAATATTATTTGCACGTTTATATTCCTCTACAACACGAGCTCTATGTACCGGCGCATTATCGTCTTGAAAAACGTAGTTGTTTGCAGGAAAATGTCGGGCAATAACAGGCCACAGATGATTGTCAAGGATATTTATATATTTCTCAGCATTAATGTTACCTTGTACCTTGCATAGAGTCCCTGGACCATACCAGCTGATGCATCCCCATATCATTACGGAAACTTTGGGTTTTGAAATCGCATACATGCACTCCGGACGGTACGATTCCTGGGCGGATCTCCAGACATACACACAATTATTTTGCCCTATAACAACTTGAGATTCATCACTAAATATGATAGGTTTCCAGTTTTGTTCAACAGTCCATCTTTGTTTGAGTAAACACCATGCTAAACGTTTCTTTCTATTTACTTCTTTGACAACCATACGTTTCCTCACTACTCTTCTGTAAATTTTGTTATTATGTAAAATCCGCTTGACTGTCCGTTCACTAATAGGTTCACAATAATTTCCATCATTAAAATCAGTTGTTATGTCCTTCAAAACACTTCCAAGGTTCTTCCTAACCATACGAAGTAATCTTACTTCACCACGTTTTGACACTTTCCTGGGACGTCCCGAAGGAGGAGCTCTTTCCACACTTTTTCGCTGATGAAACGTTTTCAAAATTGATCTACATGTAGATTCGGGAATTTTCATAATTCTTGAGATCTCACTTACTTTATGTCCGTTTTCTTTCAAATCTATAATCAGCTGTTTTACCTCTAGTGACAGTTCTTTTGATTTTCTACCCATCTTGTTTACAGTCCGTAATATTCGGCAGTCTAACTTTAGCAGACGTCAAACATGACATCGCGGTAAACTTTGACCTTACGCAGTTTCGGGGATGATGTCAAAATACAAAAAAGCGATTGCATAATAATTTAGGACGATTTGAAAAAACGCGAAGCGTGAACGTTTTACGACGGCCGCCATTTTTCCGCGAATACTTTTGGCACGACGCTGTAGCTGCAAAATTGTAGCTATGTTGTATGTTAGTTCGCCCTAAAAATCGGTTGCCGTTCGCCCAAATTCCCATTAGCCCAGAGTTCGCTTGCCCTAAACCTTGTTTGCAAAGGGTCTGTTCCAGTTCGCTGTATTTAATCAGGTCCAGTACAATCTCTTGATTTAGCTATATAGCTCTAAATAGCTATAGAGCTTTATTAAGCTATTCAGTATAGCTTAATTTAGCTATTTTACTACACTTTTTTCTTAAAGGTGTAATTTTCTCAGTATGTACAAAAAAGCGCACCTTGGTGCAGTGATGATATACAACTTTGAACTCTTCTTAAAATAATGCATGTAAAAATCACTAATCAAATTACGTCTATTTGAGAGACTTTGAACTCAAAGTTCTACAAGTTTTGGGGCTATATAAAGCAGTTGATACAGTTACTTCTGCAATGATATTATAATGGAGACCAATTATGTTCAACAAGATAATTGATTGGTAACAGTTCAGCACAATGAGAAGCAATCATACTTTTCCTTGCCTCAAGGCACCCAAGGTAGTGGACAGTTAGTCTAACAATAGAAATTTTCTTTTTGCTTAAAAGTATTCAAAAGCTGCAAAGTTAGAACTATCTTTGATTTTGGTTGTTGTTTTAATAGTCCATAGTACATGTATGAAGAGTCAAATACATGCGACTTTTTGTTTATTTTCAGCAAAAAACATTTTTGTGAAAATCTTTATATAAATAGCTAAATAACGCTATTTTGAATAGCGTAATAAAGCTATATAGCTATTTAAAGCTATTAATATAGCTAAATCAAGAGATTGTACTGGACCTGTTAATATAGAATAAGAATTTTCATTTTCCATCTTCTTATTAAATCATTTCTTGAGATCAAAGGGAGAGATTCTTCAAAGGTATAATCTTCTTTATTCGCTGTTCAGTTCCGACAATGGACTTACTAATGCTCCAAGTCCTTCAATTGTTTTCAAAACATAGCAAAATTCGTAAATATACCACAGATGTATTCCCCTAATTAACGTCGATATTAATCATCTAATTAACTATAATGCAAACACTAAGGCCTTCAAAAAACATTAGAATCAAATTAAAAATTAATTAAGACTAAATAAATATCATTCTTCGTATCATTTGAAAAATAAAAATCCCAAGTTTGAAAGAAATTAAAACCGGAATAGAAAATACATGTTATAATATTTAATTCATATAGTATTGGGTATATACAGCTGTATATAAATATAGGGCGAAGAAGATATTGGGCGAACAATATTTCGGTTGAATGGACTCCTGCTAACAGGTAGATCGAGCGAACGAACCCTGTACCCTCTCTGCTTGAGAAAATTCGGACAGATAAGGCAAATAGCTACAGATCCATGCATTGTACAGGTAAAACCTTTGATTAAAGCCGCTGATTTATTGTCTTGTTTGAACATATTTCATTGTATAATTCATACAAAGGGATTGGTAACAAGTTCTTACAACTTAGATTAACCTTTCCTTTTAATATATACAATAATTATAACTATACTAATAGTGATTGCCAGAATGATTACTGTCGCTCGCTTTAGGTATTATTTCTGGACTGTTTAGCTTTCTCCAGCTTTAAGAATGATACCTGATAATCGATAAGGTGAAAAACAATAAATGCTATAAATAATACCTGAAGTGAGCAACAAAAAAGCAGCGATGAAGGTTTTTACAACACTTGGATTTGTAGCTTTCTCCTTTATATGTCTGAATTTTATTAGGCAGAGAGTTACAGTTCTGCACCTAGTAAATAGCCAGACATCTTGGCCCAAAGAGACCTCAGCCCGTGAGATTCATAACTTGGGCCCAGAAAGGTTGGCCAAAAATTAATAACAAGCCGGACCATTTAAGACACACTCTCTAAGTATAAGAGATATCTCTCTAAGTACAGGAGATATCTAAGTACAGGAGATACATGTATCTCTAGAAGATATCTCTAGTTTAGGAGATATCTCTTTCTCATAGAGATCAATATCTCTTAAAAATGAGAGATATCTCTTTAATTTGGGAGATATCTCTATTTTTTAAGAGATATCTCTCTAAATTGAGAGATATCTCTGTAATTTTATGATAGATTTTATTTTCTGAATAAATAGCAAAAGGGCTTACCATGGACCTGTCATATCCAAGGTGACATTGGGTCGAGATGTCATTGGGCCGAGGTGGGCCGAGGAATTATGTCTGTATGTGGTAAAAATCTTTAAATAAACCTCCTCTTTACATGTACATGAATACCAAAGCCATGATGAATCAGCAGTAATACAATGCATGTGAAAAAATTGTATTGTATTTTCCATTGCAGTTTCTATTTACTTGTGGATCTCGATCTAGAGACTCCTTTAAACCTTACAGCTTCCATTGATGTTTATCATGCACTTAGAATTAGTTTTTGAAATAATTTCCAGGCAATGGCTTGTGCCATTTGAATATATTTTAGATCTGACAATTGACTGCCGTCATGAGAAAAGGGCCCTTATCTTTTGACGTCACAATGCACAGAAAACGACGTCAAAGTCACAGTATTGTAAACACGGAAGTAATTTTTGTTAACTGCATTTTGTAAACAAGAAATAAAATTGAATTTCAAAGCGTAACAAAAATTTGAAACTTGATGTGGACATTTTTTAATAGGCATATGATATATTTACAATTTAGTACGTAATGTTTTTTATAATTTTGTTTAAGTATTTAACTTAATGTAGATATACGGGGCACTGTACATACACGTTACTAGCTATGGAACATGTACAGCGATCTAAACGATGTCTATGCATGACTGAATTAAAGATGCTGCATATTTGTTTTCTGAGCAATTTACAAACGCTTAATTGAATTTTGAATTCATGTTAAGAAGTCTTAATATTAAAAGTTATATTCCATACACATGTATATTTCTTTCAGATTTTCTATTTTGATTATCTATTTTATCTAGATTATCTATTTTCTGAAAAATAGATACCATAATTTAAAACGTATTTAACCATTTCAATTTTAATCCATAGTTAATCATACTGATATACCCCGATAGCCATCCTTCGGTGAACTGTCGATTTTAAAATGTGTGTAAAAAGTGGGGGGAGAAGACAAGCCAAAAAATCTCCGAATAAAAAGACCGGTAAAAGTTAAAGCTAAGAAACATAATCCTTCTTTGATTGAATAAAGATACTGGTACATATGTAACATGGGAGATCCAAACCTTTTACATAAACAATAAATATTTTTTTTTGCTAAATTAACAGTAATAGCTAGAATATTCCAAGGGAAAAAATACGGATGATGGGCATGCCAAGAAAATTTTGCTACAATAAATTTTGTTTCAAATACTAATTTGTAATGATCAAATAAATACATTCAAAGGAGTTGTATGGTAGAAATTACTATTGTTTCAAATTTCTGAAATTGTTACGATGAAATGAATGAATGAAATCCCACTGGAACCTATTTTGCTATATGTTAAGAAATT